TTTCCCCTTCCTCGAGATAATCAACAGTAAAACAGAATTGCAAATAATGATTAGTAATGAATAGTGTTTGGGAGGCCATGCTTTGGATGGGTTAAAATTAGCATGTATTTTGCATCCTTCTTTCTCACCTTAAAAAGAGGTTGCAGGAATTATGCTGGAACGGAGCAGGGCTGTGGCTCAGTGGTAGAGCATCTGCTTGGCATTCAGGTTCAGTCCCTGGCAGATCCAGTTGAAGAAGAAGAGAAGAAGAGATTGGATTTATACCCCGCCCTTCACTTGGAGTCTCAGAGCAGCCTACAAACTCCTTTCCCCCCCCCAACAGAAACCCTGTGAGGTAGGTGGGGCTGAGAGAGCTCTTTCCAGAACTGTCCTTGAGACAACATCTCTGGAAGAACTATGGCTTGCCCAAGGTCATCCGGCTGCTGCAAGTGGAGGAGTGAGGAATCAAACCTGGTTCTCCCAGATTAGAGTCCACGCACTTAACCACTCAAATAATAGGTGATGTGAAAGCCCTATATCTGTGACCCTGTGTCAGAACCCACAGCCAACAACAAAGTACACGCATTCAGGAACGGTAATACTTTTATTACAGAGCTATAGATGCAGTAACATAGGCACTGTTAAGAATGGCGGCGGCCCCTTGGGCATAAGAGGATATAGGGTATTCGTATGCACCCCCCCACAGCACTGGCCAATTAGGCACCCTCCCGCACGCGGGATAAGGCTTAGAGACCATTAGGTAGCTGAAACTGAGAACGAACACTCTCCCACGTTACCTAGGGCAATCCCAGACACTACAACACCCTCCTGCACATCTGTATAGATAAGTGTTTCAGCGCACAGCAGAGACAGCACAGAAAGGAATGCAGTAGCAATTAACTGGAAAGGAAAGCAATAGCAAGTAACCAGACACAGACCAACCTCCCCAACCTTCATGGCAGCATAGCTGACACCCTGGAAGGCTGCTGCCAGTCAGAGTAGACAATACTGTTCTTGGTGGACCAAGCGTCTGACTCGAATAACACAGTTTCGTGTGTTCGTGAGTGTGTGAATTCAGACTTCCGATAAAGAATTGTAGGAGGTTTCTCAATGTTTCCATGCTCAAGAGAGGAATTGTGTTACAAAATGCCAGTTTGGTGTAGTGGTTAAGTGCACGGACTCTAGTCTGGGAGAACCAGGTTTGATTCCCTCACTCCTCCACATGCAGCTTGGTGG